CCCCAAAACCCCAAAACCCCAAAACCCCAAAACCCCATGAAAATCTCAATGAACTTATTTGAAATGAGTCTTGTTAAATAATTACAGCTAAGCTATATTTCATTATGGGTAATTTGGCTTTCTGCCATCGAATGATACCTAAAATAGATAAAATTATAAATCCTACATGCTAAGGCGGTGGGGGTGCGACATAGTGAGGATTATTGCTAAACTATTAATATGCTCTCTAGTCAAACGCTGCTTATGGATTTTAAGCCATTCTTGCATACATTGCAGGATCATGATGCATTTAATACAGCTAATATTCGTCCATATAATCTAAAGATAATGATTAGGCTAAGAATGGCTACTTTATTTTTTTCTGTATCCAAAAAGAAGCTTCCATGTAAACAAGAATCCAAAAAAGAAAAATATACCTCTGAGAAAAGCTCTTAAAAATAATGCTCTTTAGATATTCTATAATATTCCTTAATAAAGATATCAATTACTGGGTCATTGTAATAGCCATTCTGCTGCTCCTACCATTACTCAAAGGGACTCTTATAGTATGATTCCCATTCCTACTCTTTTTTCTTTTAAGCTGCTTGATGTGTCTATTCCTTCTGCTTTTAATCTGCAAACCCTTATTTAAAGAAATCATCATACTAATGATTACCACTGCTACTTTGATTGAAATTAGACCTAGTTTAGTTTTCTCTTTCTTGCTACCTAAAAGCCTCCTATTGCTTTCGAAACAACTCTTCATAAAAATCTTTAGGATCTCCTTTGAATTCGTAGTATTCTCTTCCATATTTGTCGCGATAGTATGTATAGCCTGACTTTTTCTGTCCATTTTATTGCTGGGAGTAATACTACTATTATTCATCGTACTATTGCTATTGCTGCTAGCTATCTCTTTGCTTACGCATTTCTTCTGCTCTTTATCTTTGCCTCTACTGCTATTCATAGAATGAACCTGCTGATTATTGATTTTAGCCAAAACCACTAAACCCACCGAAGCCGCCAAATCCACCTTATTGTCCAAAACCACCTTGAGGACCACTCGTTCTAGATTACCCTGATCCATATGAATGACTTTATTGAGCTGACTAGCTATATTGCCTCATTGAATCATACTCTTTTCTTTTACCAGGGTTTCCTATGACATTATATGCAGCTGATATTTCCTTGAATTTCTCGGTTGTCTTACCCCCATTCTTATCTGGATGGTATTACTGTGCTAACTTATAATACTGAACTTTGATATCTTTTTCACTTGCAGACTTTGGAATGCCAAGTGCCTTGTAATAATCAATATTTGGATCAAAATCAGGGGGTTGCATTATATTTCTTCGTTAGTATTAGAACAAAGATTTAAAATTAAGCTTTTAAGGTTTAACATAGCCTCTTCTCGGTACATATAAGAGTAAAGATGGATGATGCAGACTCACTAAAAAGTTTTTCATTTTATAAAATGTAAATTACTCTAATAATTATAATATTTTAGAGAAAGGGGTTTTGGGGTTTTGGGGTTTTGGGG